AACATGGTGAAAGCCCATCTCTACTAAAAATACAAAAATTAGTTGGGCATAGTGGTGCGTGCCTGTAATTCCAGCTACTCGGGAGGCTGAGGCAGGAGAATTGCTTGAACCCGGGAAGCAGAGGCTGCAGTGAGCCAAGATCGCACTATTGCACTCCAGCCTGGGCAACAAGAGCGAAACTCCTTCTCAAAAAATAAAAAATCAGGCCGGGCGTGGTGGCTCACGCCTGTAATCCCAGCACTTTGGGAGGCGAGGCGGGTGGATCACGAGGTCAAGAGATCGAGATCATCCTGGTCAACATGGTAAAACCACGTCTCTACTGAAAATACAAAAAATTAGCTGGGCACGGTGGTGTGTGCCTGTAATCCCAGCTACTCAGGAGGCTGAAGCAGGAGAATTGCCTGAACCCAGGAGGTGGAGGTTGCGGTGAGCCGAGATCGTGACATTGCACTCCGGCCTGGGTAACAAGAGCAAAACTCCGTCTCAGAAAAATCAGTACCAACAAAGCCTTCTACATAACAGGAGATCAATAAGTGGTAGCTATTATTAATATTCTTACTGAAGTATTATTAGATGTAGTTTTGTTAGAATGCAATGGATCTCAATTCATCTTCATTCTGTTTAAATCTCTGTAGTTAAATGTAACATTTTCACCAAACAGACCTGAATTTGGTTTCTGGAAGCTATTTCATCACTAAGCGAGTAATGTAAAATGTAATTCAATGTGTTCCATGCAGCCCAGCGACAGTGTTCTTGGTTGGGATTACCAGTCTGGCTCTCCAGTTCTGTGTTCTACTAAGGTAGGTTCTTATACCTGGCAGCTCAACGTGCATTTCTTACCTGTGGAGATGGCTTGAGTGCTCTCTGGGATTCCTCTTATATGTTTAATTGCAGCCTGCCCCATTTTTTCTGCCCTATTATCAAGGGCAATCACCTACTTCACTTCTTTGAAAAGCCAAAAATCTTAATACGGTGAAGATAGCCATGGGTACACCGAGTTTAGCTTTTAATCCACACTTACTTCTTCTGCCATAGGAAGCCATTAAATGGGAGACAATGAAGGGACCAATGTCTCAAATTACAGACTCCCTGGAGACCAGTCCCAACAGTCTAGCATTAACTAATAACTGCAGGCTGAGGGTGACAGGCATGCCCAACCTGATTATTACTTAATATGTTATTTCAGATTCTGTCTTGGAAATTATTTTTAGCAGAAACAGTCAGTTAATAACTTTAATTCTAAAACAACTTGAAAACTGAGAATCTACTTAAGAGATGGGGAAAGAGAGGAAGCTGCAACACACCTTGTAATTCGCTGAACTCAAACTCACCAGCTTCTACTACAGAAAGTCTGCGCATAGTAAGTCATTTTTCCTTACTACAGGTCAGAATTCCAATGAAATATTTTTTCACCAAAACTGCAAATTAACATGAATTTTAAAAATAGTCAACAAGGCCAGGAGCTGTAGCTCACCCTGTAATCTCAGCACTTTGGGAGGCCAAGGTGGGCAGATCATCTGAGGTTGGGAGTTCAAGACCACCCTGACCAACATGGAGAAACCCCATCTCTACCAAAAATACAAAATTAGCCAGGTGTGGTGGCGCATGCCTGTAATCCCAGCTACTCAGGAGGCTGGGATTCCCTTGAACCTGGGAGGCGGAAGTTGCAGTGAGCCAAGATCAGCCATTGCACTCCAGCCTGGGCAAAAAGAGGGAAACTCTGTCTCAAAAAAAAAAAAAAAAAAGAAAGAAAAGAAAAAGAAAAATGGTAAACATTATTTATCTACCAATGATGACATTAATAACTCTTACTATTACTTCTGAACTGTTTTTGTAGCATTCGTTTACTGTCATGGTAAAAGAACCAAGGTTCTCAAGAGAAGTGAGTTGCCCAGAGCCAAGATGAACCCAGTGCCAGAATAAGAATGACAGTTCAAGGATTAGCACCTTCTGGTGTTAGGCTTATGCCACAGATTTCTCATAATAAGTAGTAAATTAATGTATCACCCAGTGTATGGACTTTTAGGCCCAGATCTTCCCGATACTGCAGCCAACCTCTCCTGTACTGCCTGGTTGGTAATATCATCTTTACCTTCTTCACAATTGGTAAGTATATCTACTACAAATAGTAGCCAGACACTGCTAGAACAAAAATTCTAGGACAGGGCTCTCTGCTCTTCAGGAACTCACAGACTAAAACTTAAAAAAAAAAACAAAACTCACATCTAAAATTCAGGTGAAGGGAATCTTTAAAAACTTCATAAGTATCTCTTTTAGTTAGTTAGTTTGTTTTGTTTTGAGATGGAATTTCACTCTTGTTGCCCAGGCTGGAGTGAAATGGTGCCATCTCAGCTCACTGCAACCTCTGCCTCCTGAGTTCAAGTGATTCTCCTGCCTCAGCCTCCCGAGTAGCTGGGATTACAGGCATGTGCACCATGCCCAGCTAATTTTGTATTTTTAGTAGAGACTGGGTTTCACCACCTTGGTTAGGCCAGTCTCAAACTTCTGACCTCAGGTGATCCACCCACCTTGGCCTTTCAAAGTGTTGGGATTACGGGCGTGAGCCACTGCACCCAGCCTCTCTTTTAGTTGTTCTATAATTTGAGTAAGAAACCAAATTAAGTTAAATACAAATTCCTTCTGTTGTAAAATTCTTTACAGTTATAATATTAAAGAATCAGGTTTAGTTTTCATTTAATAAATAGTTACTGATCAAGAGATGATTCTGGGTAGAAAAACAAGGACAATGACAACTTGAAGTCAAAAACTGATATAGGGCTGGGCCCAATGGCTCATGTCTATAACCCCTCTCAGCACTTCGAGAGGCTGAGGTGGGAGGATCGTGTGAAGTCAGGAGTTCAAGACCAGCCTGGGCAACATGGTGAGACATCTCTACAAAAAATAGAAAAAGTTAGCTGGGCAAGGTGTCATGCACCTGCAGTCCCAGGCACTTCGGAGGCTGAGGTAAGAGGGTTACTTAAGCCTGGGTGGAACTTGCAGTGAGTCATGTCATTGCACTCCAGCCTGGGTGACAGACGGAGGCCCTATCTCCAAAAAAACCAAAAAGACACAGAAGAGTTGGTCTCCATTCTCAACATTCTGAAATGTGGAGAAGTTTGAGAAATATTTTAGCTAATGGATCTTAGTTATATTTTTCTTTGAATGTGTTTCCAGGAGTGATGTATAATTTCAGCAAAAATTATGTTCAGATTTTTAAAAATGAAAAAATAGGGCCGGGTATGGTGGCTTACGCCTGTAATCCCAGCACTGTGGGAGGCCAAGGCAGGTGGAGCAGTTCTTATTCTGGCACTGGATTCATCTTTGCTCTGGGCAACTCACTTCTCTTGAGAACCTTGGTTCCTTTACCATGACTATAAATGAATGCTCCTGACCTCACTCCTGAGGTTAGGAGTTTGAGACTAGCCTGGCCAATATGGTGAAACCTTGTCTCTCCTAAAAATACAAAATTAGCCAGGCATGGTGGCACCTGCCTGAAATCCAGCTACTCAGGAGGCTGAGGCAGGAGAATCACTTGAGTCTGGGAGATGGAGGTTGCAGTGAGCCGAGATCACGACACCGCACTCTAACCTGGGCAAGAGTGAAACCCTGTCTCAAAGAAAAAAAAGGTCAGATGCGGTGGCTCACACCTGTAATCCCAGCACTTTGAGAAGCTGAGGCGAGTGCATCACAAGGTCATGAGTTCGAGACCAGCCTGGCCAATATGGGGAAAGCCTGTCTCTACTAAAAAAATACAAAACTCTGCCAGGCATAGTGGCATGTGCCTGTAATTCCAGCACTAGGGAGGCTGATGCTGGAGAACTGCTTGATCCTGGGAGGCAGAGGCTGCAGTGAGCCAAGATCACGCCACTGTACTCCAGCCTGGGTGACAGAGCAAGACTTCTCAAAAAAAAAAAAAGCATACAACCTATGTCAAAGGAAAAATGAGTCTGCCTAGACTGGGCATTTCTGTTCCACAGTAGGAAAGTAAGGAAACAAACTGTATTTAGGTTTGCATTCAAAAATATGTTTCTAGCCAGGAACAGTGGCTCACACCTGTAAACCCAGCACTTTGGGAGGCCAAGGCGGGCGGATCACCTGAGGTCTGGAATTTGAGACCAGCCTGGCCAACACAGTAAAACCCCATCTCTACTAAAAATACAAAAGATTAGCCAGGCATGGTGGTGCACACCTATAATATCAACTACTAGGGAGGCTGAGGCAGGAGAATTGCTTGAACCCAGGAGGCAGAGGTCACAATGAGCTAAGATTGAGCCACTATACTCCAGCCTGAGTGACAGAGTGAGACCCTGTCTAAAAAAAAAAAGGAAGAAAAAAAGAATATGTTTCTGAGATGATTAAACCTAAAAGGTTTCTGAGATGATTAAACCTAAAAACTGATGCTGTTCCTCTGTCCTTTCAGGGTTTACTGTGCTGTTTGTTCAGATGCAGCCAGTGCCACAGGCACTGAAGGGGATATTTTCTGCATTTGCTGTAGGATCCTTCAGTGAAGGAGTCTGCACGGTGGTGTTAACACTTTTGGCAACAGATTCTGTATGTTTTTAAATACTGAATTTCTGAAGGCTCATATCAATCTGAAAGTCTGGCTATAAATAATATGCCTTCGATATTTATTTTCTATTGACACCAAAAATAGAAATATGTAGAGATGAAATTCCTAATTAGGCACGTGCTACCGGTAAAACATTTCACTGGGGAAAGTTTAAAAATTCCACAAGAGATTTTTCTTTTTGTAGGTGAATTCTACTTTACTAGAGTTTTGAAAAGTAGTTAAGATATTAATCAACAGTGAAACTGAGGCTGGGCACAGTGGCTCATGCCTATAATCCCAGTACTTTGGAAGGCCAAGGCAGGTGGGTTGCTTGAGCCCAGGAGATGAAGGCCAGCATAGACAATGTGGCAAAATCCTATCTCTACAAAAATTAGCGGGGGGGGGGGGGGGGGGGGGGGAGTGGGGAACAGCTGGGCAAAGTGGTTCACACCTGTAATCCCAGCATTTTGGGAGGCCGACGCAGGTGGATCCCCTGAGGTCGGGAGTTTGAGACCAGTCTGATCAACATGGAAAAACCCCATCTCTAAAAAAACAAAAAAGAAAGAAAGAAAAAAAAAATTAGCTGGGCCTGGTGGCACATGCCTGTAGTCCCAGCTACTTGGGAGGCTGAGGCAGGAGGATCACATGAACTGGGGAAGTCAAGGCTGCGGTGGGCCATGCTGACACCACTGCACTCCAGCCTGGGTGACAAAGCAAGATCCTGTATCAGAAGAAACAAACAAACAAACAGTGAAGCTGCCGGGTTGGGTTTGACACAGTAAACAGCAAGACTTCTCTCTCATACTAAATTGGCACCTCCATTTAAATCCTTGTGGCAAAATATTTTTAACACATTCCGATTAAAAGACCAAGTATTCCTTACAGTGTCTTTTCTCTCTCAACTATAGGAAAAAACAACCCCTGAACTTTCCTACTTGTCTGTGCTGCTGTCGGTGAGCAGCTTAGCTTCTTCAGGTAAGCAAGAAAACTTCCCAAGTAACCTGTCCTTGTCAAAGGCTTACCAGTCCTTCAAGGCAAGTAACTACTCAACCAGCACTGTGATGTTGCAAGGGGAATATTAAGCTCCAGTTCCCTTTTATCTTTTTTTTGAAACGGAGTCTCACTCTGCTGCCCAGGCTGGAGTACAGTGGCATGATCTTGGTTCACTGCCACCTCCACCTCTTGGATTAAAGCGATTCTTCTGCCTCAGCCTCCCGAGTAACTAGAATTACAGGCGTGCAAGACCACGCCTGGCTAATTTTTCTATTTTTAGTAAATGCGGGTTTTTGCCATGTTGGCCAGGCTAGTCTTGAACTCCTGACCTCAAGTGATCTGCCCATCTCAGCCTCCCAAAGTGCTGGGATTATAGGCGTGAGCCACCGCACCCAGCCACTCTAGTTCCACTTAAAGCAAGAGATCCAAGAAGCTAAGAAGTATGAAAAGCAAAGCAAAGCGAATAGGGGAAGGAAGGGTTAGGATGGGTTATGAAAAGCCATCCTTCTCATGTTACCTCCCTGCATTTAATGAGATCCCATTCTTCATCCTGCAGTGCTTTTCTCAGGCCTGGGGCTGATCTGGCTGGTCAGGGTGACCTGTCGAAGGCCAGAGGCTAACTCAGCAGTCTGAACCATCTGGGTCCTGTGTTTCCTGCCTGAGATACACGTCTCTGGAAGGCTGGGCCTGTCCCAGCAGCACTGCCACCTGTCAGCAATCACATGATCATCTCCTATCCTGCTATTTCAGCTGAACAGCAGAGCCAATGACATGAAGCATGTCAAAACCAGTCATTTAGTAGAAAATTATATTATGCCGGACGCGGTGGCTAATGCCTGGAATCTCCACACTTTGGGAGGCCAAGGTGGGCTGATAATTTGAGGTCAGGAGTTCAAGACCAGCCTAGCCAACATGTCGAAACCCTATCTCTACTGAAAATACAAAAATTTGCCAAGTGTGGCTATGGGTGCCTGTAATCCCAGCTACTTGGAATGCTGAGGCAGAGACTCTCTTGAACCAGGAGGCAGAGCATGCAGTGAGCCAAGATCACTCCACTGCCCTCCAGCCTGACAGAGCAAGATTCTGTCCCAAAAGAAAAAAAAAAAAGAAAGTTGCATTTAAGTATTAATGAACACTCACTGACAACAGATAAAAAGAACAGTCCTGCTGAAATCACAGGACTGACATCATAACCAAATTCCCCTCAAATAAAGATCTCCTAACAAACAGGAGATTATTTCACAATGATTATTTTGACTTTCTAAACCTCATTTTTTGTTCAATGAAGCTTACTGGCATCAGCTAGGAGATTGCCATAGAAATAAGTGCTGCAAAAGAGAAAGGAAAATAGATATCTTAGCAACTAAGTTTAGTTTCAAAAGAACCCAGTAATTCAGACTCTGTATTTGAACAAAATCAATTTATTGCTTCTTTAAAAATGCAGTGGGGCTGGGAACGGTGGCTCATGTCTATTATCCCAGCACTTTAGGAGGCCGAGGTAGGCAGATCACCTGAGGTCAGGAATTTGAGACCACCCTGGTCAACAAGAGTAAAACTCTGTTTAAAAATAAAAATAATAATAATAATAATAATAAAAAAATTCTGAAGTATTTTTGGTAGGGACTAGTTACTCACAGATGGGCTCAGTGTCATTAAGGACTGGATACAACTTCATTTTCTGACAAGGTCTTGCTCTGTCATCCAGGCTGGAGTGCAATGGCACAATCACTGCAATCTCTCCCTCCCAGGCTCAAGCGATCCTCCCACCTCGGCCCTCACCCCAAGAAACTGGGATGACAGGAATGCCCCGCCAGACCTGGCTACTTTTTTGTAATTTTTTTTGTAGAGACAAGGTTTCACTATATTACCTGGACTGGTCTCGAACTCCTGTGCTCAAGCAATCCACCCGCCTTGGCCTCCCAAAGTGTTAGGATTACAGGCATGAGCCACCTTGCCTGTAGAACTCCATTTCTTGAGAAAAAGAATAGTACTGGCTGGGTTCGGTGGCTCACAACTGTAATCCCAGCACTTTGGGAGGCTGAAACGGGCAGATCACAGGTCAGGAGATCGAGACCATCCTGGCCATGGTGAAACTCCACCTCTACTAAAATACAAAAAATTAACCGGGCATGGTGACACGTGCCTGTAGTTGCAGTAAGCCAAGATAGTGCCCCTGCACTCCAGCCTGACAACAGAGCAAGACTCTGTCTCAAAAAAACAAAAAACAGTACTAATGGGCAAGAGGAACATATTCAGTATAAAATCTCCCAAAGCATCTATGATAGGCATAGCACCTGAGCAAGTGGAAACAACTGTTCATTTGCTCTCTTCTGGAGAGGAAGTTACCTAATATATACCCACTATCCCTTGACGCCACCAATATTTTCTGATCACCTTCCACATCCTAGACACAGCACTAAGTTAGGAATTAGAAACTGGAGCAATCACACAGTAAGAATGAAATTCCTTTGAAGTAATTCTATTACCATGATTGATAGAAATGATTCAGAAACAACACAGCTTTTACATTCTCTAGACCTCATCAACCAATTTTTGTTTAGACAGTGTCTCACTCTGTTGCCCAGGATGGAGTGCAGTGGTGCAATCTCAGTTAGCTGCCACCTCCACCTCCTGGGTTCAAGCAATTCTCCCCCTTCAGCCTCCTGAGTAGCTGGGATTACAGGTGCTCAAAACCACACCCAGCTAATTTTTGTATTTTTAGTACAGACACAGTTTTGCCACGTTGGCCAGGCTGGTCTCAAACTCCTGACCTCAAGTGAGCTGCCCACCTTGGCCTCCCAAAGTGCTGGGAATCCAGGCATGAGCCACATCATCCAGCAAGAATGTTCTAAGCAAAGGTAATGCAAGAGTCCCAAGGCAGATGCGGGTCTGTCATGCCGCAGGAACAGATGAAGCCCAGCATGCCTGGAACAGAACTGAAGGAGGAGAAACAGCAGACACAGAGAGGAAAGAGGAAGACACTGCAGGGCTTTGGGCAGAGAAGTGACATGATCTGACATATTTTTAAGGATCTCTCTGGTGGCTGATGCTGAAAACAAAGCGCAGGGAGAGGCAAGGGGGCAAGTGAAGACACAAGATGGGAGGCTACCGCAATAATCCATGTGAGAGGTGATGCTGACTGGCCCAGATGGTGGCAGCAGAGTGGTAAGAGTCATTTGGATTCTGGGTGTATTTGGAACATACCTCCAATGTGATTTGCAATGGATGGAAATGTGGGCTGTGAAAGAAAGAGTCAAGGATGACTCTACAAGTTTTTGGCCTAAGCAGCTAAAAGAACAGCACTATCTTTAATTGAGAAGGGAATGATAGTGAAGCATGATGCCTATAGTACCAGCTATCTGGGATCTTGAGAGCTTGTTTGGAGTTCTAGCAGGGGAGTGCAGCTACTCATATACCCCGACCGAAGACCAGTCCTCCTCTACTGGGGACGGTCATTCTCTTTGATGGAGGGTGCAGCTTCAGGAGGGACATACATGGAGCCGTGAGGGAGGAAGGGGACACCCGCCTAGCCAGCCAGATCAACCCTGGTGATCAACAGCATGACAGATGTCACAGCCAGATTGCCCTCACATCCTACTTGGAAGGCTGAGGTGGGAGGATCACCTGAGTCTAGAAGTTCAAAGCTGCAGTGAACCATGATCATGCCATTGCACTCCAGCCTGGGCGACAGAGCAAGCCCGCACGTCTCCAAAAAAAAGAAGAGTAAGATGGCTATGGAGTAGGCTTGAGGGGAGTATTAGGAGTTGAGTTTACCGAGTTAAGTCTGAGACACCTATTAGATATCTATCGAAGTGGTGATACTAAATAGGCAAATGGGAGAACAAGCCGAGTTCAGGGGAGAGGTACAGACGTACAACAGACTAGAGATTTGGATATATCTGCATATAGATGGTGGATTTGTCTTCTTGGGCAGTCATATTTAAAATACCACAGACTGGGTGACTTAACAGAATTTTACTTTCTCATAGTTCTGGAGATTAGAAGTCCAAGATCAAGCTTTTGGCCACATTGGTCTGTGGTAGCAGGTCTCTTCCTGTCTTGTAGATGGCCACCTTCTTGCTATGTCCTCACATAATCTTTCCTCAGTATGGAGGAGTAAAGGGCAAGCTCTCCATTAATTCTTCTGTTAAGAACACTAGCTCAGGCCCAGCATGGTGGCTCACGCCTATAATCCCAGCACTTTGGGAGGCCGAGGCAGGTGGATCACGAGGTCAAGAGATCAAGACCATCCTGGTCAACAAGGTGAAACCCCATCTCTACTCAAAATACAAAAATTAGCTGGACATGGTGGTACATGCCTGTAGTCCCGGCTACTTGGGAGGCTGAGGCAGGAGAATTGCTTGAACCCAGGAGGCAGAGGTTGTGGTGAGCCGAGATCACGCCATTGCATTCCAGCCTGGATAACAAGAGCGAAACTCCTTCTCTAAAAAAAAAGAACACTAGGCCGGGCGCGGTGGCTCAAGCCTGTAATCCCAGCACTTTGGGAGGCCAAGGCGGGTGGATCACGAGGTCAAGAGATCGAGACCATCCTGGTTGACATGGTGAAACCCCGTCTCTACTAAAGATACAAAAAATTAGCTGGGCATGGTGGCGCATGCCTGTAATCCCAGCTACTCAGGAGGCTGAGGCAGGAGAATTGCCTGAACTCAGGAGGCGGAGGTTGCGGTGAGCCGAGATCGCGCCATTGCACTCCAGCCTGGGTAACAAGAGCGAAACTCCGTCTCAAAAAAAAAAAAAAATACTAGTCCTATCGGATCAGGGCCCCACCCTTATGACCTCATTTAACCTTAATTACTTCCTTACTCCAAAACAACTACACCCAGAGTAATAGCTTTGATTCTGAAAGTTCATGTTCTTACCCTTCATGCAAGACTTAACAATGGTACAAGCTATTTAAGGCAGACATTTAAAAGAGGACCAACTGTTCAGAGAGTCTTTGGCTCCCGGTACTTCTTGTTAGCCGCTCAAGTTTCATGTGGCCAGCAATTTCCCTGCCTAGCTGGAGCAACTTGGGTTCTCTGGGCTCCCATCCCAAGTCCAAGCTGAAGTGTCCTCAACTCCACCAGCTGCCAAGGAGCATTTATCTGGTTTCCCAGTGACTCCCAGTCTGGAGGTTACTTTCCCCAGTGCTCTCTCCCATGGTTTCCTAATATTATTTCTCTTTTCTCCAGTTTCTTCTCTGCCTTCGGTCTGAAGGTGTATATTCTATTTTTGTTTCAGAATGAATTTCTCTTATGCACTGAAAATATGTTTTCATTATCCATTAACTCTATGGAGAACCTAAAGGTATATAAAAACACCCTTAGCATAGAACTGCTGAGTGACGCAGATATCTCCATTGCTTCTAAGACTGCACATGCTGGGCCGGGCGCGGTGGCTCACGCCTATAATCCCAGCACTTTGGGAGGCTGAGGCAGGCGAATTACAACATCAGGAGTTCGAGACCAGCCTGGCCAACATGGTGAAACCGAATCTCTACTGAAAATACAAAAATTAGCTGGGCGTGGTGGCACGCGCCTATAATCCCAGCTACTAGGTAGACTGAGACAGGAGAATTGCTTGAACCCAGGAGGCAGAGGTTGCAATGAGCCGAGACCATGCCACTGCACCCCAGCCTGGGTGACAGAGTGAGACTTTGTCTCAAAAAAAATGAGACTGCCCCTATGAACAATTCTACCATGAACACTGATGTCCTGTGGACTACTTCAGGAAGATGGACTGAGAACATCATTAAATGATTTCCACCCAGTTTCTGAGTAACTTTATTTTTAAGTTTTCGATATGGGGGTCTCGCTATGTTGCCCAGGCTGGGATCAAACGATCCTCCCACCTCGGCCTCTCAAAGTGCTGGGTTTACAGGTGTTAGCCACTGAGCTGGTCAAGGGCAATTTTTTAAGTGCTGCCCAACAACTCATTACCTCCTTCTCAAGGAGCATGAGTGGCAAACCACTTCCAGGAACGCGGAGGTGCTCTTTTACAGACTTGGAAAGAAGGATTTAGGAGGAAAGGGAAGTCATTCAGAATGAAGAATTTCCTCCTCTGACGCCCAGCCATCCCCCGTTAGGCCTAAGGGTGCCAGACCTCAGGACTTTTCTGGAAAGGGATTTTTCCTACCGAAGGTGAATCCATCCGTTCCGAAGGTCAGAAGCAATTTTACCGAAGTTTTTGGTTCCACTGAAAAAAATGTTAAGGGTCAATCAATGCTCCTTGCCCCAAACCTGAATATGAGCCTGCCTGGGGTCATGTTCTACCCTAAAGACTCCACTGTCTTGTACTCCTCGATGTCTGGAACGAAAAGGGGTCCTGGACTGACTCTCCTAGAGACCAGTTTCTCAGGGACTCCTTACGGGGAGCTTACCGCGCCCTCACTGTCCGCCGGCCCCAATGCTCCCGGAGACCACCCGCAGCCCGGACACCAGCGAGGGGAACACCTCGGCCGCACTCTCATTGGTTCCAGGAGGCCGGAAGTGCGTGCGTCCGACGGAAGTGCTCCTCCGGCGCGGTCCGCTAGGCCGGGGCCCTCAGGTAGGCGGGGCCCCTGGCCCCAAACTCTGCGACTCGCTGGCGGGCCGGCGGCACAGCGGGGATCCCGGGGACCTAAGAAGGTTGTTCCAGTTTTTGTCTGGGAGGGCCGGAAGGCGTTTCGGGGACCATGCGTTTACGGCTACCTCTGGTGGCAACCGGGGCCTGGTGGAGCCCCGCCACCGCGGGATGTAAGTGCCGGAGCTTCAAGTGCCCGCGTAGGGTGGGATTTGCTGCAGTGGCCGGAGCTGATTCTTCACCCATTCCGGTTGGTGCTGGGCCAAACGCTGCTCACTTTCAGCTAGAAAGAGACGTGCTCTCCGCCCTCACCTTTTCTATACCTCTGGGTTCGACGCCTTCCCTGAAGGCGTGTCCGGATGCGGGGTTTTCCTCAAAAACCTCGGCCTCGCTAGGAAAAACCTCAGAAAGGCTGCAGTAGGCGCAGTCGGGGGAGAAAGTGCCCCCGCCGGTGGTGTCTCGGGCTGCTCTAGTGGAAGTTATCTGAACTGCCTTAGGGCAAGTTTATTTATAGCAAATAAAATTACTTGTTAATGGTTTCCTTTTTTCCAGCCATCTCCACCCCCAGGTGGTTTGAACTTTGAGCCTTTTGTACTCTTGATGAATAATTTCATTTTCCTCAAGTTTATGACACTCGGAACGTCAAAAACTGGAGGTTTCTGCAATTTGAGACTGGTCAGCACCCTGCAGAGATCAGAGTACTAAGAGACAGGTGAGCATGAATACAGTACCCTCCACTCCAGATTACAGTGTCTGAGAGCAGTTTCTGTAGTTTCGGTAAAAGTGCACCACCTTAGCCTGGCACAGTGGCTCACACCTGTAATGCCAACACTTTGGGAGGCCCAGGCGGGCAGATCACCTGAGGTCGGGAGTTCAACACCAACATGACCAACATGGAAAAACCCCGTATCTACTAAAAATACAAAAAGTAGCCGGGCGTGATGGCGCATGCCTGTAATCCCAGTTACTCAGGAGGCTGAGGCAGGAGAATCTCTTGAACCCGGGAGGCAGAGGTTGCCTTCAGCCGAGATCGCAGGCCAGCCTGGGCAGCAAGGGCGAAACTCCGTCTCAAAAAAAAATTAAAAAACAACCGTTGAGGCGGGTGGATCACGAGGTCAGGACATCGAGACCATCCTGTCTAACATGGTGAAATCCCCTCTTTACTAAAAACGCAAGAAAACTAGCCGTGCATGGTGGCACGCGCCTGTAATCCCAGCTACTCGGGAGGCTGTGGCAGGCGAATCGCTTGAACTCTGGAGGCAGAGGTTGCAGTGAGCCAAGATCCTGCCACTGAACTCTTATCTAGCCTGGGTGACAAAATAAGACTCCAGCTTAAAAAAAAAAAAAAAGCACCACCATTAGTGACTACTAGGTGGTGCCAATGAGTTAATCTTTCTGGGGTAAATCCCAATTAATGTAGCACCAGGTTAAGGCTTTTAAAGTACAAACATTTTTACCTAAATGTATTCAGAATAGCTTTAGCTCCTTAAATATATTGAGCCTTGGCCGGGCACGGTGGGACATGCCTATTATCCCCGCACTTTAGGAGGCCAAGGCAGGTGGATCACGAGGTCAAGAGATCGATCACCTCAACAAGGTGAAACACCGTCTCTACTAAAAATACAAAAATTAGCTGTGCATGGTGGTGCGCACTTCTAGTCCCAGCTACTCGGGAGGCTGAGGCAGGAGAATTGCTTGAACCCAGGAGGCGGAGGTTGCAGTGAGCCAAGATCACGCCATTGCACTCCAGCCTGGGTAACGAGTGAAACTCCATCTCAAAACAAAAAACAAAAATATATTGAGCCTTTATAAATTTGACCAAATTATTGAATTTCTATTCTGTATTAGGTACTGAGAAAGCTAAGAGAGGAATCAGAGTCATACTCTGTTCTCCAGAGTTTAGTTAAGAGAGGGATAATGTATTATAATAAAATCACATATAATTGAAGGCAGAAATAAGTGCTAAATAGAGAATAAGATTTGAGCTGGGCGCAGTGACTCAGGACAGTAATCCCATCACTTTGGGAGACCAAGACGAGTGGATCACCAGAGGTCAAGAGTTCTAGACCAGCCTGGACAACATGGTGAAACTCTGTCTCTATTAAAAATATGAAAATTAGTTAGGTGTGGTGATGCATGCCTGTAGTCCCAGCTACTGGAGAGGCTGAGGCAGGAGAACTGCTTGAACCCAGGAGGCGGAGGTTGTAGTGAGCCAAGATCACACCACTGCACACTCCAGCCTGGGCAACAGAGTGAGACTCTGTCTCAAAAAAAAAAAAGGCCAGGCATGGTAGCTCACACCTGTAATCCCAGCACTTTGGGAAGCCGAGACAGGTGGATCACAAGTCAGGAGTTTTGAGACCAGCCTGGCCAACATGGTGAAACCCCGTCTCTACTAAAAATACAAAAATTAGCTGGGTGTAGTGGTGAGCGCCTGTTATTATCCCAGCTGGTCAGGAGGCTGAGGCAGGAGAATCACTTGAACCAGGGAGGCGGAGGTTGCAGTGAGCCACGATTGCACCACTGCACTCCAGCCTTGGCAACAGAGTGAGACTCCATCTCAAAAAAAAAAAGAGATTTGAATGCTAAAGAAGCAGCAGTCAATTCTCATTACTCAACTACCAGTTATTTATTTGGAACTTTTTGTCTGCTCAAGATTGTGCTAGATACTGCTGTATAAAGAAAAGGTAAAATCCCTACTCAAATGATTCACTACCTAGCGAGTGGGAGGAAATCAAGGAAGGCCTTGTAGAAAAGGTGACTTGAACTTTGAAAAATGAATGAACTGGGCTTCGTAGGTAGAAAAAAAACAATGCAGGCTCAAAAGAGTGCATGACTGGCCAGGCGCACTGGCTCATGCCTGTAATCCCAGCACTTTGGGAGGCTGAGGTGAGCAGATCATGAGGTCAGGAGTTTGAGACCAGCCTGGCCAACATGGTGAAACCCCCCCGTCCATCTCTACTAAAAATACAAAAATTAGCCAGGCATGGTGTCGCATGTCTGCAGTCCCAACTACTCAGGAGGCTGAGACAGGAGAATCACTTGAACCCGGGAGGCAGAGGTTGCAGTGAGCCGAGATAGTGCCTCTGCACTCTAGCCTGGGCAACAAGAGCGAAATTCTGTCTCAACGAAAAAAGAATGCATGACTTTTTTTTTTTTTTGACACAGAGTTTTGCTCTTGTTATCCAGGCTGGAGTGCAATGGTGCGATCTCAGCTCACCGCAACGTCCGCCTCCTGGGTTCAGGCAATTCTCCTCCCTCTGCCTCGAGTAGCTGGGACTACAGGCACGCACTACCATGCCCAGCTAATTTTTTGTATTTTTAGTAGAGATGGGGTTTCACCATGTTGACCAGGATGGTCTCGATCTCTTGACCTCGTGATCCACCCGCCTTGGCCTCCCAAAGTGCTGGGATTACAGGTGTGAGCCACCGCACCCAGCGTGTGACATTTTTGAAACAGCAAGTCATCCAGTGTTGTTAGACTGTAGGAAACTAAATCTGAAAAGACATTGTCAGTTGCATCTTGGATTTGCCTCAACTTTTACTGGAAAGTTCTACTAAAAAGACTTTTTTTTTTTTAAATATGGGGTTTCACCATGATGGCCAGGCTGGTCTTGAATTCCTGACCTCAGGTGAGCCACCCACCTCGGCCTCCCAAAGTGCTAGGATTACAGGCGTGAGCTACCGTGCCTGGCCAGTTCTACAGACTTAAGAAAAATATTAAAATGAACAATTTCCAGGAAAAATGCACTAAACTATTATACATGAAATGTAGCTATAATAAATTACACTTCAGGATATAATACTTGTTTATACTTGCATATCATTGATGATTTGCGCCAATTTTTTTTTTTGGTGGGGGGGACAGAGTCTCACTCTGTCGCCCAGGCTGGCGTGCAATGGTTCAAGCGATTCTTCTGCCTCAGCCTCCAGAGTAGTTGGGATTATAGGCATGCGCCACCAGGCCTGGCTAATTTTGTATTTTTAGTAGAGGTGAGGTTTCTCCATGTTGGTCAAGCTGGTCTCAAACTCCGGACCTCAGGTGATCCACCCACCAAAAAGATGTTCATCAGCTGGGCTTGGAGGCTCAACACCTGTAATCCCAGTATTTTGGGAGGCTGAGGTCAGAAGATCCCTTGAGCCCGGAAGTTAAAGACCAGCTTGGGCAACAGGGAGATCCCATCTCTACAAAAAAATAAATTAGCCAGGCATGACGGCGTGTTCCTGTAGTTCCAGCTACTCAGGAGGCTGAGGTGGAAAAATGGCTTGAGCTCGAGAGGTTGAGGCTATAGTGAGCTGTGACTGTGTGACTATGCTCCAGCCTGGGTTACAGAGTGAGTCCCTATCTCAGGAAAAAAAAGGGATGTTCATGCTCATAAGTAATTTGGTAAATATACATAAGACCAATGAGATAATGTCAGGAGTTTTCGGGTCCTGGAGTATACTTATAAAAATGAAAAAAAAAAAAGCTATAGTGATTCACTTCATAAAGCAAAACCACATTTGATCTACTTCTTTATATACCTGTATTTCCATTTATCAAATTTGTTTAGAGTAAGATAGACCAATAATGAAGACTTCTAATTAATTTGTCAAGTCACATAATGAAGGCTTTCAGGCATTTTTATGGATTGTTATTACTATATGAGTGTAAACTTTTATATCTAAATTGATTTTCTTTCTATAACTATCTTTCACACGCCTGTAGCTAAGAAAGAGTATAGTCTGTTTTTTGAGTCAGGGTCTTGCTCTTGTCAGCAAGGCAAGAGTGCAGTGACAAGATCATGGCTCACTGCAGCCTCAAATTCCTGGGCTCAAGCAATCCTTCCACTTCAGCCTCTTGAGTAGCTGGGACTAGAGGCAGCCAACACCATGCCTAGCTAAGATTTTCTATTCTTTGTAAAGATGAAGTCTCACTATGTTGGCCAGGCTGGTCTCGAACTCCTGGGCTCAAGTAGTCCTCCCACCTCAGGCTCTCAAAGTGCTGAGATTATAGACAGGCATGAGCCATTGCACCCAGCTGCCTATTTTTAATTGTACTGAGGACCGGGTGTGATGGCTTATGCCTATAATCCCACCTCTTTGGGAGTTCAAGATGGGAAGGTCACTTCAGGCTAGGACATTGAGACCAGCCTAGAAAACATAGCGACACCCTATCTCTACAAAAAGTAAAACTTAAAAAAATTGCACTGTTATGTTAATTTCATATAGTATATGGGTTTATTGTTTCACATAGAGATTAAAATGGCTTCCAGAGGAAAGACAGAGACAAGCAAATTAAAGCAGAATTTAGAAGAACAGTTGGATAGACTAATGCAGCAATTACAAGATCTGGAGGAATGCAGGTAAGAGTTTAATTGTATATTGTTAAGCTGTAAAATTGCTTGCTTTCTTTCTTTCTTTTTTTTTTTTGAGATGGCTCTGTCACCAGGCTGGAATGCAATGGCACTATCTGGGATCACTGCAGCCTCCACCTCCCAGGTTCAAGTGATTCTCCTGTCTCAGCCTCCCAAGTAGCTGGGACTACAGGCATATGTCACCATGCCCAGCTAATTTTTGTATTTTATTTATTTATTTATTTATTTTTTGGAGAGGTTGAGTCTTGCTCTGTCACCCAGGCTGGAGTACAGTGGCATGATCTTAGCTCACTGCAACCTCCGCCTCCCAGGTTCAAGCATTCTCCTTCCTCAACCTCCTGAGTAGCTGGAACTACAGGCACATGCCACCATTCCTGGCTAATTTTTTGTATTTTAGTAGAGACAGGTTTAACCGTGTTGCCCAGTCTGGCTTTGAACTCCTGAGCTCAGGCAATTCATCCACCTCAGCCTCCCAAAGTGCTGGGATTACAGGCGTGAGACACTGTGCCCAGCCAAGTTTGTATTTTTAGTAGAGACGAGGTTTCACCATGATGGTCTCGATCTCTTGACCTCATGATCCACCTGCCTCGGCCTCCCAAAGTGCTGGGATTACAGGCATAAGCCATCACGCCCAGCCAAAATGGCTTTTTTTTCTGCAGCTAGCTCCATGGATGCAGCCCCATCTGTGATTCTGCATTCCCCTGTAGTGTTCTTCACAGTGCTTGGTCTATAGAGAAGTAAACTCATTGCAGGCTTTGGAGTCATAAAGGCTGGGTTATGAAACTCATTCAGTTAATTACCAAGTACCTGTGAACTTGGGCAAAATACTTAATCTTGAGGTTGAGGTAGAAATAACACCTACCTTATCTTTAGTATTTAAAACAGCCCTGCCTGCTGTCAGGCTGAGAAGGTACTACTTGAACTTCTGGAATGTAGTTTCGGCCTTACTTGCACAAAGGACTACTTTTTTTTTTTTTGAGACAGAGTCTTGCCCAGACTGGAGCGCTGTGGCGAATCTCAGTTCATTGCAGCCTCCACCTCCCAGGTTCAAGCGATTCTCCCGCTTCAGCCTCCCAAGTAGCTGGGATTACAGGCATGCACTACCACCCCCTCTCCCGGCTAATTTTTGTGTTTTTTTGTAGAGACAGGTTTCACCATGTTGGCCAAGTGGCCTCAAACTCCTGACCTCAGGTAATCTGCCCACTTCAGCCTCCCAAAGTGCTGGGATTACAGGTGTGATCTAAGGCACATGACCTTATTATGTGGTCTCTTTTAGTATGCCTCCTTTTGGTAAAAGAAAAATGTTTAATTATCAAAGTAACCATATTGTAGGAAAATGCCCATACTGCTACTATGTGAACACATTCATTGTTAGCATTTTGATATTTCCCTTCAGCCTTTCTCTAATGTACAAGTACAAAGATTACATTTTTCACTTGGAACTCTATATTTTTCCATATCATGATGTTTACCTACTTCAGAGAGGAACTTGATACAGATGAATATGAAGAAACCAAAAAGGAAACTCTGGAGCAACTAAGTGAATTTAATGATTCACTGAAGAAAATTATGTCCGGAAATATGACTTTGGTAGATGAACTAAGTGGAATGCAGTTGGTAAGTATAACATATGGGTGAGAGGCCTGACTTTGTTTTTTGTCTTTTTTTTTTTTTTTGAGACAGATCTTACTCTGTCACCCAGACTGGAGTGCAGCAGCACAGTCTTGGCTCACTGCAACCTCCACCTCCTGGGTTCAAGCAATTCTTCTTACTCAGCCATCCAAGTAGCTGGGATTATAGGTGTCCACCTCCACATCCAGCTAATTTTTATATTTTTAGTAGAGGTGGGGTTTCACAATGTTGGCCAGGCTGGTTTTGAATTCCTGACCTCAAGTTATCTTCCCACCTCTGCCTTCCAAAGTGCTCATTATAAGCATGAGCCACTGTGCCTGGCCGGTTTTTTTTTTTTTTTTGAGTCAGGTTCTATCTCTGTCACCCAGGCTGGAGTGCAGAGAAACGATCATGGCTCATTACAGCCTTGTCCTTCAGGGCTCAAGTGATCCTCCTGCTTCAGCCTCCCAAAGATTATAGGCATAAACTACCATACCCAGCTTTTTTATAAGTATATTTCAAGCCGGTGTGGTGGTGCCTGCTGGTAATCCCAGTTACTCCAGGGCTGAGGCATGCAGCAGGAGGATTTCTTAGAGCCCAGGAGTTCAAGACCAGCCTGGGCAACATATTGAGACCCCCATCTCTAAATACAAAATAATAATAGTAATAGATTAAGTATATTTCTGATAGAAAATATACCATGTTTTACATTTTGCATGTAATTTTTTTTTTTTTTTTTTTTTTGAGACAGTCTGGCTCTATCGCCAGGCTGGAGTACAGTGGCTTGCTCACTGCAACCTCCCCTCCCTGGTTCAAGCAATTCTCCTGCCTGAGCCTCCCAAATAGCTGTGACTACAGGCATACACCACCAAGCCCAGCTAATTTTTGTATTTTTAGTAGAGTCAGGGTTTCACCATGTTGGCAGGATGGTCTTGATCTCTTGACCTCGTGATCCACTTGCCTCAGCCTCCAAAAGTGCTGGGATTACAAGCGTGAGCCAGCACGCTTGGCTCTTTTTTTTTTGAGACGGAGTCTTGCTCTTTCACCCAGTCTACAGTACAGTGGCGTGATCTCAGCTTACTGCATCCTCTACTTTCCAGGTTCAAGCTATTCTGCCTCAGCCTCCTGAGTAGCTGGGACCACAGGCATGCGCCACCACATCTGGCTAATTTTTGTATTACTACAATTCACCATATTGCCCAGGCTGGTCTTGAACTCCTGAACTCATGATCCGCCTGCCTCAGCCTCCCAAAGTACTGGGATTACAGGCATAAGTCACCGTGACCAGACTTTGCCTTTTTTTTTTTTTTTAAAGAGACAGGGTCACCCAGGCTAGCGTGCTGGGGTGGTGCATTTCACCCCTCAGTCTTTTAAGTACCTGGGACGACGGGCATGCACCACCACACCTGGCTATTTTTTTTTTCTCTTTTTTGAGACTGAGTTTCTCTCGTTACCCAGGCTGGAGTGCAATGGCGCGATCTCGGCTCACCGCAACCCCTGCCTCCTGGGTTCAGGAAATTCTCCTGCCTCAGCCTCCTGAGTAGCTGGGATTACAGGCACGCACCACCATGCCCAGCTAATTTTTTGTATTTTTAGTAGAGACGGGGTTTCACCGTGTTGATCAGGATGGTCTTGATCTCTTGACCTCGTGATCCACCTGCCTCAGCCTCCCAAAGTGCTGGGATTACAGGCTTGAGCCACCGTGCCTGGCCCCCTACCTGGCTATTTTTAAAAATTTTTTTAGAGACAGGATCTTGCAACATTGCCAAGGCTGGTCTCAAACTTGTGGGCTCAAGCCATCCTCCTGCCTTGGCCACCCAAGGCGTAATTTCTACATGAGTGTCTGCTTATGCATAAACAACATATCCTTCCAGATCTTCGTTTAGTTATGTAATTGCTTCCAGTGACAGGGACCAGTAAACCTTGATAAACAAAGATTAAACAGCCATCTATCAGTTATTGCAGTTTCTGATTTGTTTGACTGTTTTGGTTAGTTTTTGCCTTCTTGTGTTTCTAGGCTATTCAGGCAGCTATCAGCCAGGCCTTTAAAACCCCAGAAGTCATCAGATTATTTGCAAAGAAACAACCAGGTCAGCTTCGGACAAGGTTAGCAGAGGTAAAATTTCTTTAAATTGATTCAGTTGCTGTGTTCGTTTCATTTCCTAGGCCAATTCATTATGATATCCTATGGCTTAAAAGTTGGCCAGTTGATTTTAGAGCCACAACTGACAATTTTCTGACAAAATTAGTACTTAGAGCAATTATGGTGGATAAGAAATGTAGGGCTTTAAACAACATATAGCAGTTTAAATTGCCACTGACCACTTCTGCCTGGACTCCACCTTTAATGTTTTACCATTTACTTCTGGAGCTCTAATTTGAAATCACATTGAGAATTCATTAGCAACATTGCTTATATGCATGTGTGGCCTATCTCATCTAAGAATTTCAAGTATCTTTATGAACCTGATACTTCCAGAAGTCTGCTTATAGGCTTTTTTGTTCCTTTTTTTTTTTTTTTTTTTTTTTTTGAGATGGGGTCTTGTTCTCTTACCCAGGCTGGAGTACAGTGGCACGATCTTGGCTCACTGCAACCTCCACCTCCCGGGTTCGAGCGATTCGCCTACCTCAGCCTCCTTCAGACCCTAGCTGGGACTACAGGCACACACCACCATGCCTGGCCAATTTTTGTATTTTCAGTAGAAACAAGGTTTCAACATGTTGTCCAGGCTGGTCTTGAGCTCCTGACCTCAAGTGATCCACCTGCCTTGGCCTCCCAAAATGCTGGGATTATAGGTGTGAGCCACTGCGCCTAGCCTTTTGTGTTTTTTGTTCTGTTTTGTTTTTGAGATAGGGTCTTGTTCTGTTGCCCAGGCTGGAGTGCAGTGGCGCAATCTTGGCTCACTACAACTTCCGCCTCCCAGGTTCAAGCCATTCTCCTGCCTCTACCTCCCAAGTAACTGGGCCCACAGGTGCACACCACCATACCTGGCTAATTTTTGTGTTTTTCATAGAGACAGAGTTCACCGTGTTGGCCAGGCTGGTCTCACACACCTAAGCTCAGGCAACCACCCACCTCAGCCTTCCAAAGTGCTGAGATTACAGGTGCAAGTCATTGCACGAGGCCTGGACAAGTTATTTTATTCATCCCCTTTGTGCCTAGGTTTCTCTGTCCATAAAAAGGTGACAATGATAGTCCCTACCTCTTATGGTTGTTATGAGGATTAAGTGAAGTAATAGGCATAAAAGTGCTTTGGATAATCCCAATGTATAGTACACGCTATTGTTTCAGGTGGAAGGGGTGATATTTTACTAGATAATTTATTAGAACTGCATTTAACATTTATTTATTTTATTTTTTTTTGCTTTTCCATAAGGATATTCACACTGGATAAGCATTTAACCTTTCTATTATATTTGCCTTGGCTTATTCCTGTAGTTCTTTACAATATTAATCAGACAGAGGATTTTTTTAAAATAGCAGGTCTGAAAGCTGTATTTTGTATATAGAATGTTTTTCACTTAAGTAACATATGCCTTGCATTCATACATCTTAGATGGATAGAGATCTGATGGTAGGAAAGCTGGAAAGAGACCTGTACACTCAACAGAAAGTGGAGATACTAACAGCTCTCAGGAAACTTGGAGAAAAGGTACCAGTATTTAATATATTAGATACAAAGAAAAAGTATGAATTTTTCATACAGAACATTTTGATCTGTGGTCTAGTTTGTGGTCCTAAGACACTTTTTTTTTTTTTTTTTTGAGACAGAGTTTCACTCTTGTTGCCCAGGCTAGAGTGCAGTGGTGTGATCTCAGCTCACTGCAACCTCCACCTCCCGGGTTTAGGTGATTCTCCTGCCTCAGCCTCCCAAGTAGTTGGAATTACAGGTGCCCACCACCATGCCTGGCTAATTTTTGTATTTTTAGTAGAGACAGGGTTTTGCCTTGTTGTCCAGGCTAGTCTTGAACTCCTGACCTCAGGTGATCCACCCACCTCAGCTTCCCAAAGTGCTGGGATTACAGGCATGAGCCACCATGCCTGGCCCCTTCTCTTTTTTTTTTTTTGAGACAAAGTTTTGCTTTTGTTCCCTAGACTGGAGTCCAATGGTGAGATCTCAGCTCACTGCAACCTCTACCTCCCGGGTTCAAGTGATTCTTCTGTCTCAGCCTCCTGAGTAGCTTGGATTATAGGCACACATCACCATGCCCAGTTTATTTTTGTATTTTTAGTAGAGATGGGGTTTCATCATGGCCATGCTGGCCAGGCTGATCTCAAACTCCTGACCTCAGGTGATCCACCTGCCTCAGTCTTCCAAAATGCAGGGATTACAGGTGTGAGCCACTGTGCCCAGCCTCCTAAGACATTCTTTTTTTTTTGAGACGGAGTTTCGCTCTTGTTACCCAGGCTGGAGTGCAATGGCACGATCTTGGCTCAACCTCCGCCTCCTGGGTTCAGGCAATTCTCCTGCCTCAGCCTTCTGCATAGCTGTGATTACAGGCACGTGCCACCATGCCCAGCTAATTTTTTGTATTTTTAGTAGAGACGGGGTTTCACCATGTTGACCAGGATGGTCTCGATCTCTTCACCTTGTGATCCACCTGCCTCAGCCTCCCAAAGTGCTGGGATTACAGACTTGAGCCACCGCACCCGGCCTCCTAAGACATTCTTAACTGGTTTCTAGAACCTCCTGTAACATTTACTCACTCAACTAGACTTTGTTTCATTTTGTTTAGCTGACTGCAGATGATGAGGCCTTCTTGTCGGCAAATGCAGGTGCTATACTCAGCCAGTTTGAGAAAGTCTCTACAGACCTTGGTGAGTGCCCTCATATTTCTGAAAGCTGGTCATATGCTATTGCTCCAAACTGATGGAGAGTGTGGTCGAAATAATGTAATAACCTTTTCTTGAGCTTAAGAGTGAAACCAGAATTGTTTTGTTTATAAATCCGTTGTATTGGTTTTATTTCCCAATATAAAAAATAAATTAATGCAGTCTAATGTTTTTAAAATACTTGTCACATAGATGTAAATATAACAATAAACTAAAATTAAATGCTTGAGTCCAGGAGTTCTAGACCAGCCTAGGCAACATGTGAGACACTTTGTCGACAAAATTAAAAAGAAAAAAATTAGCCAGGTGTAGTGGCATGCACCTATAGTTCTAGCTACTCGAGAGGTTGAGTCAGTAGAGTCACTTGAGCCCAGGCATCTGAGGCTGCAGTGAGCCAAGATCACGCCATTGCTCCACCCTGGGTAACAGAGCAAGACCTATCTCCACCACAAAAAATTTTTAAAATAAAATTTTACATATTCTATTTCATAGCTAGAGCTGGAGTAAGGATTTATAACTAATACATTTCCCTTTATAGCTGGGTTGTTTGTGCAGAGGAAAGGAAATGGGGATGGCAATGGGAGCGTGTAGGCGTTAATATACTGGTAATGGAGGCTAATTATATTTTTGGTTTATATGATAGATTTTTTTCCCACTTTACTAGGAATTGTACTGCACTTGAATAATCTTTTTGTTTATTATGTGTCTTTCTTCTTAGGCTCTGGAGACAAAGTCCTTGCTCTGGCAAGTTTTGAGGTTGAAAAAACAAAAAAATGACCTGGTGCAGAAGCTTGTAACATTGATCACATTCTTATTGTAAATGGTGTCTTTCCTCTGGGGGTTTTCAGTTATGCAAAGAAATGAAGAGATTCTGGAAATGCATCAATAACCTAAGAAAAAGTGACATAAAAGTATACTTATGGCTTGTGTTTATGCTCTTCATCATTATGCATTGTGTGGGGTTACCTGCTTGAGTGATCCTGAACTTGCTGTGACAGGGACTCACTGAACTCTGCTCCTTGTGATTTGTCTAAAAGAGAAAACAAAGTGGACTTGGCTTTTATTAAGGCTGTTTAAGTGTTGATAGTGAATGAAAAGATGTGTAGTAATGATATTTTTCTGCTTGTAACTTATCCCCACTCATTGGAGTGAACAGTGAAGCAAGCTCAGTAGACTTCATATGTGTTCATAGAATTTTAGAGTTCCAAGGGATCTTAGAAATCATTTCTGTTTTTACAAACAAGGAAACAGGTCCAGAAAGAGCAAGTGACTTGCTTAAAGTTACATTAGAGAACTGACAGGTAAAACTCAGGTGTCCTGGCTCCCAGTTTAGTATCTTGAATTTTATTTCTGTACCATTTTATAAAAAATAACACTATTTGTGCAAGTCAGTGTTTGTGAAAATTCAGTGTCCCATTGAAAAGTTGACTGCACATGAAGGGACCATCCCCCAGCCTGTAAGCTGTCTGTATGAATGGGGCCCCTTGTATCTCAGAATTTTGAGGTTGAAACAATGGGAGCCCTGTTGAGCGTCTCCTAAAGTGACTTACCAGCCTGGTTGTTTCACCAGGGAAGCAATAGGAAATGGCAGCTAGAGGCCCTCCCTGTGTGTGACCTCTTGTCACACTCAGAGGGTGGTAACTGTCAGCTGTTATCTACTCTTCAGTTTTTGGAGAAACACAAAATAAGAGGAAAAGCAAATTTCCTGAGTATTTACATGTCTCTGCTTGCTCAAATATGTGGATATGTCCATATGCGTGTATATTAGCTTATTTCTTAAGCTCTGGCCATTTTATATCCTTTCATGTGCTTCTCTTTTTTTTTTTTTTCCTTCTTTATTTTAATTAAGTATTCTGGGGATCATGTGCTTCTCAATATTTTTGTTTTGTACTTTATACAAATTAAAAGCATTTTTAAAGCTTATTCTATACTGTAAACTATTAGGTGCTTTGCCAACCAGACAGATTAGAGGACCTCAGCTCCACTGATGCCTTATTTGGAACTTTTAGTGGGTTTTTTTTTTTTTTTTAGATGGAGTTTTGCTCTTTTTGCCCAGGCCCGACTGCAATGGTGTGATTTCGTCTGACCACCACTCCACCTCCAGAGTCCAAGCGATTCTCCTGCCTCAGCCTCCCGAGTAGCTGGGATTACAGGCATGTGCCACCATGCCTGGCTAATTTTGTAATTTTAGTAGAAACAGGGTTTCTCCATATTGGTCAGGCTCATCTCGAACTCCCGATCTCAGGTGATCCACCCGCCTTGGGCTCCCAAAGTGCTGGAATTACAGGCATGAGCCACCTCACCCGGCAGGTTATTTTTTACATATTGATTTATGACTGTCAAAAACTCAGGCTGGGTGTGGTGGCTCATATCTGTAATCCCAGCACTTTGGGAAGCCGAGGCAGGTGGATCACCTGAAGTCAGGAGTTCAAGACCAACCTGGCCAATATGGTGAAATCTCGTCTCTACTAAAAATAGAAAAATTAGCCAGGCATGCTAGCGCATACCTGTAACCCCAGCTGCTCAGGAATCTGAGGCAGGAGGATCTCTTGAACCTGGGAGGCAGAGGTTGTAGTGAGCCGAGATCATGCCACTGCACTCCAGCCTGGGGGACAGAGCAAGACTCCATCTCAAAAATTAAAATTAAAAACAAAAAACTCACTGAAATTGTGACAAACCAAGAAAAAGAAAATTACCTGCTATTCATCTAAGGCTTTATGGTCAATCCTTACTTCATTTTTCTATATTTATTTTAAAGGAGGTGAAATTCATATATCATAAGAGTCACCATTTTAAAGTGTACAGTTCAGTGGCAGAACATTCCCAGTGTTGTGCAACCATCACTAGTCTCTAGTGCCCGAACATTAATATCACCCCCAAAGGAGGCCCTATAGCTATTAAGCAGTTATTCCCCAGTTCCTTCTCCTCCGTCTGCTAACAGCCACTAATCTGCCCCATCTTTATGGATTTACCTATTCTGGATATTTCATACGAATGGAATCAAAAGATACATGGCCTTTTTATGTGTCTGGCTTCTTTCATTTAGCATAAGTTCTTTTTTGGTACAGAGTTTCACTCTTGTTGCCCAGGCTGGAGTGCAATGGTACAATCTTGACTCACTACAGCCTCTGCCTCCTGGGTTCAAGTGATTCTCCTGCCTCAGCCTCCCAAGCAACTGGGATTATAGGCATGTGCTACCATGACCAGCTAGTTTTATATTTTTAGTAGAGACAGGATTTCACCATGTTGGTCAGGCTGGTCTTTTGTTTTTTTGAGATGGAGTCTCACTCTGTCACTCAGGCTGGAATGCAGTGGCATGATCTCGGCTCACTGCAACCTCTTTTTCCCGGGTTTAAGCAAGTCTGCCTCAGCCTCCCAAGTAGCTGGGATTACAGGCATGCATCACCATGCCTGGCTTCTTTTGTATTTTTAGTAGACACTAGGTTTCACCAGGTTGGATCTCGAACTCCTGACCTCAAATGATCCACAAGCCTCAGCCTCCCAAAGTGCTGGGATTATAGGTGTGAGCCACTGTGCCCAGCTGGTCAGGCTGGTCTTTTTTTTTTTTTTTTTTTTTGAGACAGAGTTTCACTGTTGTTACCCAGACTGGAGTGCAATGGCACAATCTCGGCTCACCACAACCTCTGCCTTCTGGGTTCAAGCAATTCTCCTGCCTCAGCCTCCCGAGTAGCTGGGACTATAGGCGCGCACCACCATGCCCAGCTAATTTTTGTATTTTTAGTAGAGACAGGGTTTCACCTCGTTGACCAGGATGGTCTCGATCTCTTGACCTCGTGATCCACCCGCCTCGGCCTCCCAAAATGCTGGGATTATAGGTGTGAGCCACCGCGCCCGGCCCCCAGGCTGGTCTTGAACTGACCTCAAGTAATTCACTTGCCTCAGCCTCTCAAAGTGCTGGGATTATAGGTGTGAGCCATTGCGCCCAGCCATCATCATATTTTCAAGGTTAATCAACATTATGGCATGTATCAGTACTTTATTCCTTTTTACAGCTAAGTAATATTCCATTGTATGGATATCACATTTTGTTTAATCCAGTATCTGTTGATGATTTGGGTTGTTTCCTTCTTTTGGCTATCATGAATAATGCTTCAGTGAACATTTGTGTACAAACATTTGTTTGAATACTGGTTTTTAATTATTTTGGGTGTATATCTAGGAATGGGATTGCTACATTTGTTTTTTTTTTTTTTTTTTATTTTTTATTTATTTTTTTTTTTTTACGATGGGGTTTCACCATGATGGCCAGGCTGGTCTTGAACTCCTGACCTTAGGTGATCCACCCACCTCGGCCTCCCAAAGTGCTAGGATTACAAGCGTGAGCCACCACGCCCAACTGCTACATTTATTTTTTAAGCCATAGAAGATTCTTCCCATCAGCTGGGCACAGTGGCTTACGCCTATAATCCAACATTTTGAGAGGCCAAGACGGACAGATCACAAGGTCAGGAGTCCAAGACCAGTGCGGCCAATATAGTGAAACACCATCTCTACAAAAATTAGCTGGGCGTAGCAGTGGGAGCCTACAGTAGCTGAGAGGCAGGAGAATTGCTTGAACCCGGGAGGTAGAGGTTGCAGTGAGCCAAGATCATGCCAGTGCACTCCAGCCTGGGCAACATCCTGTCTCAAAAAAAAAAAAAAATTATCTTGCTTTAAAAGTGGCCTAGTTTGCGTTGCCCACCAAGACATTGACAGTCTCAACTGTGTGACCTTTTGTGGGTTAAACTTTTGAGCCTCCTTTTTTACTCAGTGGGGATAATAGGACCTACCTCAAGGATTATTGTGCATTCCCCTCTCTTTGTTAATGCAGATACAGTTTTTACCTGGAAAGCTAACTCACCATTTAACAGCCCTCCTAAGCACCATTGGATATATTTTGTTTCACAAATTTGGTATTCATTCAGAAAAAGTTGTTGAAAAGTGAGTAAATTCTATGCAATTATAGTTATTAAATGACTTATAAACTGTGTTTCTCTTCCACTTTTTGCTACATTTAAAATCTAGGTGTTCAGATGTCTTTGGAGGTTACAGGCAGCAATAATGCTAAGGCAGCTAACTTTTCAAAATTCTTGAGTCAGGCTAATATTTTGGTGAAAAGAATTCCTGTAATTCTCAAATAACTAGAGCTGAAGCAGAAATAAGTTTCAATGAGCAAGTGTCCAATTGGGCCATTGAATGAAATCTAGTGTTTTAAACAACTCTGATGTTTCAATGTTTTGTTTTGTTTACTTTTGATCCTCTGAACAGTAAGACATGTTAGGTGGGTGGCTAAGGAAGAAATCCAGTAACAGAATGAGGAATTACTGCCAGGAAGAGGTGGAGTTGGAATAAATGGGTTATTAACTGATTTTCAGATCTTCTACTGAAGACATTAAACATGGAATGGTCATCTTTAGGAAAATAAAAGACTATGCAACTCCACAACTGAAATGGTATTTTTTTTTACAGTGAATGATGGATAATTGGAAATTCTTAGAGAAAAAAATCAACCCAAACCATTTTGTCTAGAGCCTTTCACACCTTCCTGTCCATGTTTTTCTTTGGTACTGTGTTTATTGCTAAGACCAATAAATGTTCTTCTTTGCCTCCTAAAATGTTTTTCAGCATTAGTATGTAAATTAAAACTGTCGGCTGGGTACAGTGGCTCATACCTGTAATCCCAGCACTTTGGGAGGCTGAGGTGGGCCGACATGAGGTCAGGAGTTCGAGACCAGCCTGGCCAATATGGTGAAATCCTGTCTTCAATAAAAATACAAAAATTAGTTGGGCATGGTGGCAGGCGCCTGTAGTTGCAGCTACTCGGAGTCTGAGATAGGAGAATCGCTTGAACTCAGGAGGTGGAGGTGGAGGTTGCAGTGAGCCAAGATTGTACCACTGCACTCCAACCTGGGCAGCAGAGTGAGACTTCATTTCAAAAAAGTATCAGCATTCCCACAGAATCCCATGAACAAGTTACAAGATATAGGCCAGGCACGGTGGCTCAAGCCTGTAATCCCAGCACTTTGGGAGGCCAAGGCATGTGGATCACGAGGTCAAGAGATCGAGACTATCCTGGTCAACATGGTGAAACCCCGTCTCTACCAAAAATACAAAAAATTAGCTAGGCATGGTGGCGCATGCCTGTAATCCCAGCTACTCAGGAGGCTGAGGCAGGAGAATTGCCTGAACCCAGGAGGCAGAGGTTGCGGTGAGCCAAGATTGCACCATTGCACTCCAGCCTGGGTAACGAGCGAAACTCCGTCTCAAAAAAAAAAAAAAAGTTATAAGATATAATTGCTTCCACTCCATCTGGCCCTAGAATTAAAGTGATTTTAGAAACTGGAGAAACTGAGGCTGGACGTGGTGGCTCATGCCTGTAATCCTAGTACTATGGGAGACGGAGGCGGGCAGATCATGAGGTCAGGAGATCGAGACCATCCTGGCTAACATAATGAAACCCCACCTCTAGTAAAAATGCAAAAAAAATAAAAAACATTAGCCGGGCATGGTGGCATGTGCTTGTAGTCCCAGCAACTCAGGAGGCTGAGGCAGTAGAATCCCTTGAACCTGGGAGGCGGAGGTTGCAGTGAGCCAAGATCAAGCCACTGCACTCTAGCCTGAATGACAGAGCAAGACTCCATTTCAAAAAAAAAACTGGAGAAACTAGCATTTAATATTTCATCAAGCTGCAGGTTAAATATATGGCTGTAGTAGATATTCTTGTAAAATATGGCCTTTTGACATACTAAGTCATTTTCTTTTTGGAATCTCCCTCCATGCTCACAGGAATAGTGGAGACTATTATTGAAAAGGCCTCAAGTCCAGGTGCGGTGGCTCACACCTATAATCCCAGCACTTTAGGAGGAGAGGCGGGTGGATCACGAGGTCAAGAGATCAAGACCATCCTGGTCAACGAGGTGAAACCCCGTCTTTACTAAAAATACAAAAATTAGCTGGGCATGGTGGTGCGCACCTGTAGTCCCAGCTACTCGGGAGGCTGAGGCAGGAAAATTACTTGAACCCAGGAGGCGGAGGTTGCGGTAAACCAAGATACTGCCATTGCACTCCAATCTGGATAACAACAGCGAAACTCTGTCTCAAACCTCAAACACAAGTGGTCAACAGTGTTCTCAATTGTTCACGATGGGCAGGGCATAGTAGCTCACGCCTGTAATCTCAGCACTTTGGGAGGCCGAGGTGGGTGGAACACCTGAGGTGAGGAGTTCGAGACCAGCTGGCCAACATGGTGAAACCTCATCTCAACTAAAAATACAAAAGTTATCCAGGCATGGTGGCCTGTGCCTGTAATCCCAGCTACTCGGGAGGCCGAGGCAGGAGAATCTCTTGAACCTGGGAGGCAGAGGTTGTAGTGAGCTGAGATTGTGCCATTGCACTCCAGCCTGGGAGACAGAGGGAGACTCCCTCTCAAAAAAAAAAAGTTCACATTGGAAATTGATACGGTTGCAGAGCTTCAGCAAGGTTGACAGGCTTGAGGCTGTCAATTGCGAGCTTCCTAATGCTTGGTTGTTCTTCTACCAGAAGGTCACACTGCTTAGGAGTTGAATACAATTAAAAATAAATGAGCAAAAATTTCCTTTATTATAAAAGAAGTCAAGGAGAGCCATCAAGCTTTTTTGTGTGTTTGTTTTTTTGAGTGAAGATAATGCTGGTAAGGGTTATTTCTAAGATTATACATCAGCCACAGCTCCTCTATCTCAGCCTCTGGTGATTGTGACCGAATTTTTGAAGCCTCCTAGAAAACCCTCTGCTGAAGCTCTGTTTCAGTCATGACTTAAATACATGTGTGAGAGTTTCTGCTACCTTGTCTATTGCCTGTAAAACATCTTAGCAGATCAGGTAGTATTTTTTTGTTGTTGTTACTACTAAATTGTCATATTACATGAGGCTATTCTTTACTATTAAAAGAGCTTAATTTGGGTTTTTTGTTTTTTTGACCCAACATTATTCTTCCAGTACTCATTAACCAGCCCACATTGAAAACTGAGCCAGCCTGGGCAACATGGTAGAATGCCATCTCTACAAAACAATACAAAAATGAGCTGAGTGTGGTGGTGCGTGCCTGTAGTCCCAGTGACTCAGGAGGTTGGGGTGGAAGGATCAATTTAGCCCAGAAGGTTGAGGCAGCAGTGAGTCATGATCTCTCCACTACACTCCAACTTAGGCAACAGAACAAGACCCTGTCTCAAACAAAAACAGAAACAATAAACAAAAACTGAGGTAGTCACCCTCAATGATAATCACAGAGACAGATAATCGAGGTAAAAGCAAATATTTGATCTGGATTAGATTGTAACTAATTATAATAGCTCCATGGTTTGGCCATGATATTAGAAAATGTGGTAATTTGCTATTTTATCTTTTATTTTTCAAAAAAGGTAACTTTTGTGGCTGGGCATGGTGGCTCATGCCTATAATCCCAGCACTTTGGGAGGCCGAGGTGGGCAGATGACGAAGTCAAGAAATCAAGACCATCCTGCCCAACATGGTGAAACCCCGTCTCTACTAAAAATACAAAATTAGCTGGGTGTGGTGGCACGCGCCTGTAGCCCCAGCTACTTGGAAGGCTGAGGCAGGAGAATCGCTTGAACCTGGGAGGTGGAGGTTGCAGTGAGTTGAGATCATTCCACTGTACTCCAGCCTGGCGACAAAAAAAAAAAAAAAAAAAAAAAGGCAATTTTAGGCTTGCACCTATAATCTCAACACTGGGAGGCTGAGGTGGAAGGATTGCTTGAGTGCAGGAGAGAACAGCTGGGCAACATATTAATAGCTAGACCTCATCTCTACAAAAAAATTTAAAAGTTAGCTGGACATGGTGGTGTGTATTTATGGTCTGAGCTATTTCGGAGGCTGAGATGGGAGGATTGCTTGAACCCAAGAGGTTAAGGCTTTAGTGAGTCATGATTGTACCACTGCACTCTATCCTTGACAACAGAGGGAGACACTATCTCAGAAAAAAAAAAGGGAGGGGAGATAATTTTGTTAGCAGTGAGCCGAGACAACACCACCGCACTCCAGCCTGGCAACAGGGCAAGACTCCGTCTCAGAAAAAAAGAAAAGAAAAACAACTATCTGTGGCTGTTTTAGTTAGCTGCACTTGGAAATAGCCCTGATCTATACAATTTGACCTAAATGAACTTTCAACTATAATTTTTTACCTCATCTTTAATCTGATAAAATATATATCTCATTAAGATATTTTTGTATTAAGCTGTTTTGGAGAATGATTAAATGGAGAGAAAGTTGGAATACACTACTTTTTTTTTTTGAGACAGTCTCACTTAGGCTGGAGTGCAGTGGCTCAATCTCGGCTCACTGCAACCTCCACCTCCCAGGTTCAAGCGATTCTCCTGCCTTAGCCTCCCAAGTAGCTGTGACTACAGGCAACTGCCACCATACCTGGCTAATTTTTATAATTTTAGTAGAGACAGGGTTTCACCATGTTGGCCAGGATGGTTTCGATCTCCTGACCTCATGATCTGCCTTGGCCTCCCAAAGTGCTGGGATTACAGGTGTTAGTCACCACGCCTGGCCTAGAATACCCTATTTCAAATCTTAATTCCACCACTCTTTTATACTTAATTTTTGTCTCACTCTGTCAAGTGGCCCCCCCATATACATATATAAATTTTTTTATGAAGCATGATTATTAAGTGGGTGGATCACTTGAGGTCAGGAGATCAAGACCAGCCTGGGCAACATGGTGACACCTCATCTGCACAAAAAATACAAAAATTAGCCAGATATAGTGGCTTGTGGTCTCAGCTACTCAGGAAGTGGAGGTAGGAAAATCACCTAAGCCCTGGGAGGTTGAGGCTGCAGTGAGCCATGATGGTACCATTGCACTCCACCCTGGACAACAGAGTGATACCTTGTCTATATAAAAAAAAAAGTGGCTCGTACCTGTAATTCCAGCACTTTCGGAGGCCGAGGCAGGTAGATCACCTGAGGTCAGGAGTTCAAGATCAACCTGGCCAACAGGTGAGAAACCCTGTCTCTACTAAAAAAATACAAAAATTGGCCAGGCGCGGTGGTTCACGCCTGTAATCCCAGCACTTTGGGAGGCCGAGGCAGGCGGATCACGAGGTCAAGAGATCGAGACCATCCTGGCCAAAATGGTGAAACCCCGTCTCTACTAAAAACACAAAAAAATTAGCTGGGCGTGGTGGTGCATGCCTGTAGTCCCAGCTACTCAGGAGGCTGAGGCAGGAGAATTGCTTGAACCTGGGAGGCAGAGGTTGCAGTGAGCTGAGGTCGTACCATTGCACTCCAGCCTGGCACCTGGTGATGGAGTGAGATTCTGTCTCAAAAAAAAAAAAAAAAAAAAATTAGCTGGGCATGGTGGCGTGCACCTATAGTCCCAGCTACTCGGGAGGCTGAGGCAGGAGAATTGCTTGAACCTGGGAAGCAGAGGTTGCAGTGAACCGAGGTCACACCACTGCACTCCAGCCTGGTGCCTGGCAACAGAGTGATACTCTGTCTCAAAAAAAAAAAAAATACAAAAATTATCTGGGTGTGGTGGCAGGTACCTGTAGTCCCAGTTACTCAGGAGGCTGAGGCAGGAGAATTGCTGGAACCCAGGAGGTGGATGGTGCAG